ATTGTTATGTGTCGTTTTTTTAATTTTTTGTCTGTATCCCCCTTCCCTGGTTTGAGTTGTGAGCTGCCCTGAGTCCCCTTCAGGGGAAAAGGGCGGCATATAAATATAATAAACAAACAAACAAACAAACAACCCCCACACAACACTGGAACTGCTGAAGCAAGTCCTGTGCTCCTACGGCCACCTCTCAGATGTTCTCACCACTCCCTGTTTTATTTAGCCACCTCAATGCACATGCGGCTGCCTGCCAGCTGTTCCTGCCACTGCGGCTCAATTGTTCCAGCCGGAATCATGTTGGAGCAACAGAAGACAAGCAGGGCCGCCTCTCACCAACTCGGATCAGTCATGGAAGGGGCATGCAGTGGTTGTATTGTCCTCACCAGAAGGGTCCCGCAGTAGCCTCCCCCGCCAGAATGGCAGCCCCGGACTGCCAAGCATGCCAGAGCTGACAGTGTGTTTCTAGAACATCTCTTCATTATTAGCTCAGTGAATTAAATGTGTTTCAGAGTCTGTACAAAATTATTTCTAGTTTCAATTGTAACATCATCTGAATGTCATGCAAGTGCAGAACATTACAGTATTTTTCAGAGTATAAGATGCACCTTTTTCCCGCACCCTTTTTTAAGAGTGTGAAAATCTGGGTGCATCTTATACACTGAATACAGCATTTTTTGCCTCCTGAAACCCCGCCCCTTTGCAAAAATGACCATGCATAGCCTTTAGGAGGCTTCCAGAGTACTCCTGGGGGCTGGGGAAGGCAAAAAATGAGCTGTTTTTTGCTTGTTTTTGACCCTCCCAGCCCCCAGGAGCACTCTATAAGCCTCCTAAAGACTATGCAAGCCATTTTTTGACCAAAAAAAAACGGGCCAGTTTTTGCGAAAAACAGGCCATTTTTGAGAGGTCTGCAGAGTGCAATTTTTATAGAAAAAAATTTCCTCTTCAAAATCTTATACTCCAAAAAATACGGTATTTGTTTGTTAAATTGATATGCTGAAAGTAACCATTTGCAGAAAATTTTGCGGGTTTTGTAATACAGTGATAAAATCATTAGCTTATTGCTAATATTTAGTAGCTTAAATATTAATATTTAATTTAAATTAAGAAAGGCATTGATAGACATAGGGAAAGCTATAAGTTGTATTTTAAATCAAATTAAGATGGCAAAATATTATTGGCTTCCTCTTTCACTGTGAATGCATAGTGAATGGATGTGCTTTACATGTGATTGAAACAATTCTAAATATTCTTAAGACTAATTCTTAAAATTTTTAAAAATATTTTAATTGAAGTTAATTGGTTTTATATATTACAAAGTGGAATTTACAATGACTGTCAGATTACATGAAAAGCAAATTATGTATACTAAAATTCCATGGAATCCTGCCTGCCTACTTTAGTAACTCAATCTCTACAAGTTGAACTAGCAGCGATGATACTTATCAGTTTATGCAATAATCAATTTGGCAAAAAGGTTATGTTTATAGTTTTACTATACTTATTCAAGTATATCTGATACCATTTTTAACTTTATTGTTTCATCTTCTGAATCACATTTACAGAAATATTCTAATGCTTAAGCTGTAAGTGTTAATGCAACAATTTTCTTATTTTAGAGTATTCTGGAACTGGGCCCTAAGTACCTGAAATTGTATACTAAAAATATTCCTTCATGGGTACGTTTAATATTTTATTGCACAAATATTATGATATTGTATCATGATTTTAAAACTATATAAATTTTAATGTTATATTGGTCTTTTCAAATAAATTGTATTATTTAATCTGTTATTCTATCTGATTTAATAGTAAATTTGATCTTTTTTCCTATTTTTCCATTTGTTTGTTATCTTCATTTTTATTTGTTTAAATTCTGATTTACATCATTATGAGATTTATTTTCTGATGAAAGTGTTTATTTATGATCATGCTTTGTGCCCTGACAACAAAAGCCATATGAAACGGATTAAGGTCTGGTCAGCTTCAGCAGCAGTGTAAGCTAGCCAAACCAATTTAAGTCACCGAGCTGAGCATGTTAACTTATGGTTAACTAAGAGCTGCGGTGGCGCAGTGGTTAGAGTGCAGTACTGCAGGCTACTTCTGATCACCAGCTGCCAGCAGTTTGGCAGATCGAATCTCACCAGGCTCAAGGTTGACTCAGCCTTCCATCCTTCCAAGGTGGGTAAAATGAGGACNCTGAGGAGACTGGTGAGGCCCCGCCTCCCTTGCCTCTAGTGACTCCACGCCCCTGTCCAAGACTTTGCTCCCCAGGAAGGACTCCATCATGGAGGACTGTGCGCTTGGACCAAGTGCTTTCTCTCTGGCCTCCTGCCCAGAGGCCCTGCTGAAGCTGAGAGCTAGGCCCAAAAGCAGTTTTTTTCTTTTTTTTAAACTTTTGTATAATGTGTTTCTTTTAATGTTGTACGGCGCCCTGAGTCCTTGGGAGAAGGGCGGCATATAAATCTAATAAACCTAAACCTAAACCAGTCGAATCTTGCCTTCCCCCCTCTCCCCCGAGGCAACCCTTCAAGGTGGTTCTTCGGCCGAACCCAGCAAGACCAGATCATGTCTCCTTCCCCTGCTATTGCACTTATCTTCTCAGACCAAGCAAGGAGTGGCTGGGAGAGGAGGAGTGAGGGGCGGGACCAGGCAGTGGTGGGATCAGCAAGTTTGCTGAACTGTGCAAAAACTTCGCTACCAGTTCAGTTGAACTGGTGTGAACCGACTGCATCCCATCACTGGTTTTATGATGTCTTTCAAGAATGATTTTCCTAATGCAAAAATATAAATTTTACAAAATAAATTTGCATGTTAGCCTAGCTGAGGCAGATGTTTTAAGTAGAAAGGAAATGCATAGAGGTGACAAAATCAAATACTAACTTATGAGGGGTAATTGTGTGACTACTTCCTAAAAATGATATTTTTTTTACATTTTTATCATCAAATATCTCTACATAAAAGTTACTTTAATTTCAGACTCCAGTTAGATATATGAAGACGCTCCTGCTTCCAGTAGTCCTTATTGTTTTTTTAGTAAGTATTAAAAAGGTATGTCACCATTTTTTTTCTTTTACCTTTAGCATGTTGTGTCACATTACAAATCAAATACAAGGTCCAATTTTTAGCTACCCAAATTGGGGGAACAATCCCAGGGATCCTACCATCCACAATAAAGCAATTTAGAGGTTGAATGTGTTACCAACTTGTTATTCATAAATGCAGATGAACAGTACAGGTTTGAATTATTGAATAGTATAAAATCTTAGGCAAAAAACATCAGAATGAGTCTTTTCCTGTCTCATTTATTGATTGCAATTTGTTTCAGTGAAATAGTCACTAGGCGCACCGTTTATCAGAGAAAGTGAGAAACTGCGAAGATTGCTGATTGCTGCCATCTCATTCAGATAAAATTCTCCCACACATCCTTTGATCTGCTCCCCCCCACACTTTTTTTTGCCTCTTCTCAGCTATCTCTTCCTGAACTGTTTCTCTTCAGTGCAGCACTTCCCTAAAAAGTACTAATTGCAAGTTAAGAAGCTCAGCTCTGTGGCATTAATTAGTTGATTGGAACCTTTAGTTGGCAGTTGCTACCTGAAATTGACCAAACTTTAATTAACTTCACATTGAAAGTATTTTTGTAGTAAATGCACATATTGGTTGGAAAAATATTTTTATTACTGTTTATTACTGTTATATTTGCAAATGGTCACTATCCACGGCAGTTGCTAAATGAGGACTGCTTGTGCAGAGGGTTAAGAAATGTGTGAAATGGAGGAATTATTTGAAATTAGCTATTATGTGCAAAATACTTTTATTAATTTTAGATGATTTTCTCTCCATCCCACCCCAGTTCCTACTATAATTAAGGAAGTAACATTTTAGACTTTTTGACTGATGCCGTAGATAAACTTTTCAGATGATATAAAGGAATGTATCAACGGAGAAGGGGAAAGGAAGAAAAATAGTTCCACACATTTTCCTTCCGCTCACTTTTCAGTTGTACCTAGTAGATTTATTTAGCCTTTTTGCAATAATGTGACAGAACAAAGTCTTGCTCATTCAGGTATATATAACCAAGTTATTGTCTAAAGCAGGAGTGTCAAACTCACGTCATCATGGCAATGTCACATAACGTATCAGGACTTCCCCCCTCCCTTGGCTAAACTGGGTGTCGGTGTGGCCAGTGACTGACACATCCGGTCCATGGGCTGGGACTTTGACAGCCATGATCTAAAGCAGTGGTAGTCAACCTGATCCCTACCGCCCACTAGTGGGCATTCAAGCTTTCATGGTGGGTGGTAGGGGTTTGCTGTAACTCTGCTTTATAAATTTTATAAAGTAAAGTTACTTCCCTACTTTATAAATCATCATTACTGNTTTAAGCCATTGACATTCCAGGTTAAGAATTTAATTGTCATCTTTAGCTCCCTAAAGCTTTTTAAGAGCCACCTGGAAATCCTGTAATTTGGTTTTCGGCTTGGCTCCTCCACCGCTTCTGAGCTAGTATTTATGGCTTCTTGAGCCGTTGTCTGAGCTTGTTGCAGGGCTTGTTGCTTCTTTAATTCTTGTTCCTTGGTAGCAAAGGTGACAGGTTTTAACGTAGTCGATTGTTGTTCTCATTTTAGGCCACCAGAATTGTCGCCACGCTAGATGTAATGACTTAAGGAAGCCGAAGTGGCCAGCTGGTTTAACATCATGACAACGGTGTAATACATTAGACCTCAAAGCTGCAGACACATAAAATTTGTCCCCCTTCCATGCCATCTCATCTCTATGGGTTAGAATGGCTCTATTTTCAGCTAATCAGGAATCTGCCATTTTCGCAGCTCCTTGTGCAGAGGATTGATAGAGGAAGTATTTGTCACTCTTCACACTGGCTGAGTGGGAGGAATGGGTTGCCTGCACAACCTCATCACGATTACTATTGTACTGAGGAATGCGAGACAATGCATTGGCTAAAAAGTTCTTCCCAGCCGGAACGTATTTCAAATTAAAATCAAAAGTGTTGGAAGTACTGTGTTCAGTGAACCTGCTGGGGTGATAACCTTCATGGGGTCTGCAGAGCTTCCAAATTGTTGTGGTCTGTCCACACTTTGAATTGTTTTCTAGTGCCTTCCAGAAGATGCCAACATGTTAGAAGTACACGACGCTGGCACAGGCCTTTTCCCTGGATGTATAAGCACACGGCTGCAGTCTACCCTGCTGATTGGCTTGTAACAAGACGGCCCCACAGCAACATCGCTGACATCTGCCTGTACCACAAAGGCCTGTTCTGGGTTGGGGTGTTTCAAGACAGGCTCACGGGCAAAAAGTGTGAAGTAACCATCCTCTAGGTTTACCTTGTAGGTTACCTTGGTCGTTGGCTTGTAACAAGACGGCCCCACAGCAACATCGCTGACATCTGCCTGTACCACAAAGGCCTGTTCTGGGTTGGGGTGTTTCAAGACAGGCTCACGAGTAAAGAGTGTCTTTAGCTCCTTGAATGTCTTTTGACATTTCGTTGTCCACGTCAATGGCTGTCCTGGCCGTGGTACATAGGATTTGGTATATAACAGGTTTGTCAGAGGCAATGGCATTCTGGCAAACTCAGGAATAAATTGCCTCAGCCTGGGGCTCGACATGCCTCTTTTCTCAGTGTGCACAAGAAGTTACACCCATCACTGTTTCCATGGCAACCATAGGAGCCGCCAGAGGAGGGGGCTACTGTATAATCCTTGGATGGTTTGCAATGCAATGGTTCTAGACGAGGGGACAGGAGGAGTAACCTATTCAGATGAAGAACAATGAAGGGGAACATTCCTGCTGACCTTCAGAGGAAACTCCCTTTCCCTCTCATGCACAGTTCCAGCACAAACTTCTGCAAGCAACTGTGGCCAATGCCCTGACCTCTGAGTGTGATGGGCCTGAGCAGGTCTCCCTCCCACACCGTTTATGCTGCTCTACTCACTGCGGCTGCCCACATAGGTGAGGCCGATGGCCGGGGTGGGGGGAGAGGTTCCACCACAATATCGCAAAGACCTTCGGCGCGGAGACATAAGCGTGAAGGTCTAATCCGCGCCGTCAGAATCGCTGAAGCGAAATAGACGTTCGCGCGGACACATAAGGGCATAGGGCAAATCCACGCCTTTCCATAGTGTTTTTAAGCAAAATGGGACGCTAGCGCCGCTTTATCACGCAGGCGCAAATGTTGCAGCTGTCAAAGCTGTCAACTGTCAAATAATCGTGCACGCGTTGCAAAGCTGTCAAAGGATTCAAACCATCGGGCGCTGTCAAACCTTCGGGTGCACATTGCAACTGTCAAAGCTGTCAAATGGCAAACCATCGCGTGGAACTTTGCAACTGTCAAACCTTTNATGTTATGACTGTTGCTGAATTTTTAATTGTTGTTTTTATTTTTGTACTCCCTTCCCTTTCTTATTGTTAGCCGCCCTGAATCTCTCGGGAGTAGGGCGGCATACAAGCCAAATAAACCTAAACCTAATCTGTATAAATGTTCCCCACTTCATTGTCTAACAATGTTAAAACTTGTAATAAAGCATACACTTCACACGTTTGAGCTGACCAAGTAGATGGCAGTCTCCCCACTTCCAAAACTTCAGCATTGTCCCCATTAACCACCGTATATCCATTCATTCTTTTCCCATTTACAACCCGAGAAGTTCCATCAATAAATAGGTTAATACCGCCCTCTAAAGGACAGTCTTCCAAATCCTCTCTTACTTTAGTTTGTAAATCAATGGTTTGCACGCCATCATGCACAAGTCTGTCCCATTCTTTCTCCCCACCCCCACCCCCGATAGGAACTTAGCCAGATTTAAATTCCTATCAGTAGAAAGTATTAGATTCTCTTGAGACATCAAAATGATTTCATAATTTAAAAGGCTAGAGTTAGTAATCCATCTCTGAGCTTTCTGCATCAGGATCTTCCTCACTTGATAAGGACTACTCAGAATCAACATCCATCCAAAGGTTAATTTCCTACTTTACCAGAATCACCGTAGCTGCTACAGCCTGTACGCACACAGGCCAACCTCTCACTACCAGATCCATTAATTTTGACAAGAACACCACAGGTTTCTTCTTCCCAGCCCAGGCCTGAGCTAATACACCCTTAGCAATTCCATCCTCCACTGCTACAAACAAATGGAATGGCTTTTCTAAATCTGGCAAGCTCAAAGCAGGAGCTTGATCATTGTTTGCTTCAAACTTTTAAATCTTTCTCTATCTCCCTGCTTCCAAACAACATTCCAAGGCTCTTAATACAATAACTTATCATACAGAAACTTTACCTTATCTGTGTAACCATCTATCCACAACCTACAATATCTTACCAAACCTAACAACTTCCTCACTTCCTTCTTATTCTTAGTGAGGGTTGAGTAACTATCCCTATCCATTCTGGATTTATTTTCTTTTTCCCCTGACTAAGTGACCCAAATACTTAACTTCAGTTTCTACATATTGTAATTTCTTCTTTGACACTCTCAACCCTTGACTACCTAGAAAATTCAACAAATCATTTGTACTTTCTTCAACCTCTGCTTTCTTTTCTCCAGACAACAACAAATTTACATACTGTAACAACTGTATATCTCTGAGCGGTTTAAACTTCTCCAACACCTGTTCCAACATTTGTCCAAATAGATTCAGACTTTCCGAAAATCCCTGCGGTAGAACACACCATTGATACTGCTGATTACGATTTGTATCACGGTCAGACCATTCAAAAATATCCCTTGATTCCTCTGTCAATGGGCAAGTCCAAAAAGCATCTTTCAAATCTATAACATTAAAATATTTATGACTATGTGGTATGCGACTTAGAAGAATTTGATACTATAGAATAACGACCAGCAACTATTGTATTTATGGACCTGATCATGGCATATTCTAATTGATCCATCAGGTTTCTTAACAGGTAATATAAGTGTATTATATTGAGACATTGCAGGTTCTATTAACCCATCTTTTAATAATGTCTCTATCACTTTTTTCAATTCCCTTTTTTCAATTCCCTTTTNAAGTTACTTCCCTACTTTATAAATCATCATTACTGTGGAACCAGTGGGCAGTTAGAAAATTTTACTACTAACAGAAATACTAAAGTGGGCGGTAGGTATAAAAAGGTTGACTACCCCTGATCTAAAGTAATGTAATGCATGACCACAAAAAGGATTAGCAGTAGGTATCTCTTCCAATGTAATTCATACATATCCTTAGAGAAAAAAGCATTAACTTGTTTACTTTTTAATCAATGTTTCATAGGCATTTCAATACATTATGCTTAAAAAGAAATCCTCTGAAAGGTAAATATATTTTTATTGCAGATCCAATTAGAGAAATACCATTAGTAATGTTTTGTATCTTTAAAGATATAAAGGATTCCTGTACCTTTAATATCAGTTTGTCATTTTCTCTAGATATTAATCACATGGCTGGTTTCTTTTTCTAATATTACATATCTTGTACACAGTAAAATTTACTTCCTTTCTTGGCTCTGTGCTTATAGGAGCATCCTTCACAACACAAAAATATCATGCAGGATTGAAGTTCCCAATTCTGAAAACTAGTTTGGATATTCCGTATTACAGTAGGCTTGAAAGTTTGTTGTTAATAGATCAATGGGGAAAGTTCTATATTCAGATATTTATGAAAGGCAACTGTTAAATGAAATATAAGTACCATGCTTAGTATTATGTCATATAAAGTTAAAGCATTTTTACTAATAATCTACCGTATAAATTCATCTACCCTATCATATATTAAGTACAGGTAGTCCTTGATGTGCAACCAGTCACTTAATGAGTATTGAAAGAGAGACTCCAACGAGAAAACTAAACAATTCTGTTTCCCGTCTCTTTACTGTTCACAAAGATTATATAACACAATGTTTCTGAAGGCTTTAAAAAGCTAGCACACAGAGAGAAAGGTAACTACTGCATTGGATCAGAAAAAGGAAACTTGCGTCTTTGGGATCCAATCTTCCAATCTTCTTTTCTCTGGCCCAGAGCAGGAATTTCCTCCTGTGCATGGATGGGAGGGGAAGGCCTGCAATGGGCTGCACAAACAAAACTCGGATCTTTGTGGTCTGAGCTTCCTTTCTCTGGCCCTTCTCATTAACAGACCTAAAGTAGCCCAGAAAATTAATATAATTAAAACGCTGTATTAATATGAAAATCAAGAATTAAATTGCATAAGTTTTTAAAATCCTTAAATGATCGACATTGTAATAGTTAACATCTAGGAACAGCCAACCATATAAAAAGGTTGTGTTAAAAAAAGGTACCTAAAAATTTCAACTTTGCAACCTAATGTACTACAGAGGGGAAGATCTCACAGGACAATACCTATAGATCAAGTTCGTTTTTATATTTATCACCAAATGATAATCTGCAAACTGTAACTGAAAGCATAGGATATCATCTGATAATTGTAAGTGTCTGTGAGGCTGATGTAACTAAAATATTTAAGGTAACATATAATTTAGGGTTTTGTTAATTATTTTATAGACAAATTGATTAAAGTTGTTTCTTTTATTCCAGACAGGAGTATTATTTTAACCAGGGTGAGGTAAGGATATATTCTCTCTTTTCTTCCAGTATACCATTTAGATGTATTCTGCCTAGCATTGTCTTGTTTCAAAAATATTTATTTAAAATAAAATGGCTTTTTATGCATTTTTAAAAAGTTAATGTCAAATTAAAGGAATAAGGAAGCAAACGTAAGGTAATCCAGTTGTTTGCAGAGCAGTTTTTATAATGCTAAATTGCTACTTTGAGGCATATTATGGTATTAACAATGTATTGTTTCTGTAGCGCTTAGTATCCTTGACATATTTTTGTCATTAATATTGTTGCTGCTCTTTTCTACAAATTGTATTTGTTTTATTATATAAAATACAAAGAAAAAAAATAAAAATAGGAAATTAAGTGAAGGAAACAGAGTGGGGAAAAGAGGGTGTGAGACAATGTTTGACAATGAGAGAAAAAGAAAAAAGGGGGGGAAAGGCATTCACTTCTGATTCTTCTTAGCATAGTACAAGATAAAACATTCCAAGCTCAAGTTTTTGCTTTTACACATAAATATATAACTATTTCTGTAACGACAAATCTTTCTGATCAACAAAACCAAAGTCAAAGTTTTATTTTTTTCATCACAAGCACAAATCCAGAAGTGATATCCAAATGAGAATATATTTTCCTCCTTGAATAAAATAATTAATTTAACCATTCCTGCTTTTATCTTCCTTGTTATGGAAATAGTATGTATTTCTATTTGCACCTAATAATCTTTGTGAACTGTCACCATTTTTATTAACAAGATTCAAGGTATTCTTTCAAATTCTTTGATGTGAGGAAGAAACCTCCCCTCTTTTTTCACCCTTTTTTTAAAGTGCCAAACTTTTTTAAATCAAAACTTTTTAATATATATGTATCAGTGGTGGGATTCAAAAATTTTACTACTTGTTCTGTGGGAGTGGCTTGGTGGGCGTGGCAGGGGAAGGATACTGTAAAATCTCCATTCCCTCCCACTCCAGGGGAAGGTTACTTTAAAATCCCCATTTCCTCCTGATCAGCTGGGACTTGGGAGGCAGAGAATAGATGGGGCACCGAATAGATGGGCCAGCCAGAGGTTACTGGTTCTCCGAACTACTCAAAATTTCCGCTACCAGTTCTCCAGAACTGATCAGAACCTGCTGAATACTACCTCTGATGTGTATACACACACACATTCGCTTATCTTCAAGGAGTAAAATCTTTTTCTTCTCTGGAAGATTTATCAAGGAGTTATAAGCCTTACTTTTTATTACAAAATCCTCAACCTTGTTAATAGCCTTAAAGAAAAAGTCCCAAATTTGTCTTTTTTTCTCAATGATCTTTTTTCAGTTATGTTGAGAGGTTTATATATAAACCATAATAGTGGAAGTTAGTATCAGGTTCTTCCAAAAATGCAATGAACTCTGCATTTTCAGCTATCTGTGAAGTTGCCTTGGTAATTTAGTAACATTCTCTATATGTTTACATCTCAGAAGTAATTTGAGTGGATTTTTTTATTATTATTGAAGCACAGCTGGTCCACACATTGAGAAATTTTATTTAGAGACCTTTCAAATATATCTCTAATACTTTGCTCCACCATCTTCCTCTTTTAATCAGCATCAGAAAATTTTAGCCACCCATAGCAAAGAAGATTAAGCTACAAGTTACTACAATAATAAGTTAAAACCACAGCCTTTAATCTTCATATTTCTATATCAGCTTTTTTCCCTCCACCACACTTCCTTTTTTGACTTGCTTTATCAACCTTCTTCCTTGTTATTTAAGACAAAAAGAAATATCTAAAATGGCATGAGTCTTCAAAAAGGCTTAGCAAGCTGTGACTAAAGAGAGCCTCTTTTAACTTGACTTTTAAAAGATTAATATTTGAAGGTGATTAAGAAGAGAAATGCACAACTTACTTTCTGTTTTAAAAGTGAATTTCAAAATGGGGGCTTCAACCTCGAACAGATTGCAGCCCCCCCTCCCCCCGCTTTTGGCATGCAGATAGCTTTGGACTTTCAACTCCAGAAGCCATTTGCCATCTTTCAGCTGTTTTGGAGAGTTCCAAGGGAAAGTTCTTCGACTCACCTTGACTGCATGGGTTCTTGTCAGAAATATATATATTCTATATATTAAAGAAATGGTCAAGGAGACTGTGAGCAACAAAAAGCATTTATTTGGCTCTTGAGCAAAAGGATTCTCAATCAGGAAGAGAAAGAATGATCATTAAGGCTAAACACAGGGTTTAAATACATTATTTATGGGTGTCATTGGTTACATAAATGCGTTTCATAATACGTTTATATAATTGTACTTGACTATTATTCCACCTGTTATTTCCTAAAAACATTCACTTAACAGAAAGTCCTCATAATTTCAGTTCCCGTTACATGACATAACAAGACAATCAATCAACCCATATCAGCCTCTTGAGAACGAATCTGACGCCANAGCTGGAAAGGCCCTAATAGTTTTGCTAAGTGTTATAAAAGTCATAGTGACCTTTGAAGTGTTGTCTCTAGCTAAATAAAAATGCTAAGATAAATAATAAAAATGCTTGAATAATATTTAGCTGTAGCTTTTAACTAAAATGTAAAATGGAGTCTATTCAAAATGGAGTCTGTCAGTTCATTCCTTTTTTACACAAATAACCAAATTTTATTTATCTCAGTCATAAAAATTGAAGGAATGTCAGTCCCTTTAGTTAAAGGCTGAAGAGCTGCACCCTAGGAAAAAATCCTTCACAGATCTCTCCCCAGGCGTGTATTTTAGTTGGCTATCTTTCTGGAAATCCTGTTGCTGTTTTTTTCTAAAATGCATAATTTTAGTTAAAACTTCAAATAGTTTACATTTTAAAAATTATGCCCAGGAGAATAGGATTCAGTAAAAATTAGATGTTACTTAATGCTTATGTACCGTATGCCACATTTAAAAACAATTGTATTTTCTTATGCTCTCCTTTATTTGCAGATTGTATACCATGCATTGCAACTAATTTTTTTTACTCTACTTGCCATTTTAATAATGAGACTAAAGTTGTTCCTGACTCCACATATGTGCATTATGGCATCCTTGATATGCTCAAAACAGGTAAATTATTGTTTCATTGTCATACTATTATTAGTATAGAGGCATAACATATTTTATGAAGTGATATACACGTATTCCTTAACAGAGCTTAAAAGGGCACTTTTCAAATGATTTGAAATTCCAGTGGCAGCCTTCCATGATGTGACTGCATTTGAGATGCTCAGCAACCAGCAAATATTTACAATCATTGCAACACCCTTGATGATGTAATTATAATTTACATTTTTGCCAGAAATTGATGTTTACTTCTCACTTGCTCACTTAATGAGCACCACAAAGTAAATCATAAAATCAGGCCAATCACATGATAACCCACTTACTACTGACATGATTTAAGTTTGGGCTCAGTTGTAGATATAAGTCAGGAACTACATCTATGCAATTTTTTAAATAGTTTAAATTGTCTTTGTAATAGAGTACACCGTCTCTTACTTTGGAAACACAATTTATTCCCTAAATCAGAAGTGAAATGTTTGCTAAGTGAACAATTTGACAGAAAGAGAGAGAGAAAAACTGCAAAAATTCTCTCATGCCGCAATACCAGCCTTATTTTTACCCCAATTTACATTGTTGTGAGGCACATAAAATTTGTTTTTAATTTTGCACATTGATCAGAAAATGTTTTTAAATTTGTTGTATTTGTAATGGTTGTTAAATGAAGTAACTGCTGATTGAAAAGTTGTTATATATGAATGTATAGAATCATGGATAGAATTATATCAATATATTATATTTGAAATATATAGTACCATTTTTTCTATATTGTGCATGATAATAATAAGTTTCTTTCCAGTTTTAAGAAACATGAATTATTTTCAACCCACACGTAGGGATTCTAATAAAGAGGTAAAAGTGCTAGTTAAATGCTTGGGTAATTAAATGTTATGCAAAGCTTGACATAAAGCTTCTATTTGTGTGGCATAAAGTATGTGTATCATCACTAATATGCATTGTGGAATATATTTAGGATTTAGGATTTNGGTAAAATGAGGACCCAGATTGTTGGGAGCAATATGCTAACTCTGTAAACTGCTTAGAGAGGGCTGTAAAGCACTGTGAAGTGGTATATAAGTCTAAGTGCTATTGCCATGGTTAGCATTTTTTAGGGATGTGCTGTGTTGCAAAGAAAAGCAATTCTGGAAAAGATAGCTCATTTAAACAATTTCTCCTCAATGTGGGAGAATAAAAAAAGAGGGAAAGGTCAGGCACAGAACACAGTATGAGGAACTTTATCTGAATAAGATAACAGCAATCAATGATCTTGACACTCTCTCCCTCTCGCATTTGCTCCCTTTCTGTCACATGTTTACTTAATAACCAAATTGTTGGAACAGAATGCAGTCATTAAAAAAGGAGAGGGTATATTTTATAAGTTTGGTAAGCTACTGTCAGCCCTCCTGGATTAACCAGATAGGAAACATAACTATATTAGCTATATCTACTTCATTGTAAAAGCTATATTAATAGACTCTTATGAGTCTGAAGGTACAAACTTTCAATCACCACTTTTAACATTTGATCTATTAAGGCGGATTCTTCTTTATTTTCTTTCTCTAACAGCTAGGCCGTTGGGAGCTCCTCCTTCTCTTATATGATTGTTTCCTGGTCAGCATCTCTTTCCCTCATCCTACAATGTCATTCGCATATTCTATTTCAGCTACTCAATGATGTTATAAATAAATAAAAAAACTGATTCAATAAACACAGTATTGCAAGCACAGGCAGAGCAAAATACTTGGCTAGCATGCTGCTTTTTCTTCCATCAAAATATTTTCTCAATTTATTTCCTATTTATGGATAAACAGGTTGCTATTGCATCTCATTGCAGCAATAGACTCAAGTTTTAAATTATTAGTTTTTAAATTGGTAAAATTGTGGCTTACAATTAGATTTAATAATAAAAGAATGGCTAAGACAATAATTTTGACTATTCAGAGAAACATAAGCAAAAAAATCTTTATTCAGTTCCTTAGAGCACATCCCGAATGAAAACTTGCTGATTTATTTAAAATTAGAATATGATTCAGAGCAAACAATTATGTAAAATTAAAATAGCTATTTTATTATAATAATTATAGTTGTACTTATGTGGAAATCTTTCAAATGTCTACTGTCACTAGCACTGCTCAATTTTTAAAGTATTTCCTTCAAACCTTAAACAGTGATGACTGAATATTTTCTTGCAGTTTAGGAGCAGAATAAATGCAAACACAGTTTATGGAAATTGCAATCAAATGTAATAGATCCAATCTGGAGAACATTGTCCCTGTTCCATCTGTTCTTATCATTTCTATAGGCTTTGGAAGGATTTTCTTGCCTGTTTGGGACAATTATCTTGAAATTCTTGATGTGTCTAATATTTGGAATATCTGACGACGTAAGTTAAAACCTAGTTTTTATGTTTGCTATCAGAGTAATGCTTGCTAGCTTTATATATTTTGTATTCTGGTAATATGTATAATGTTAAAATTTCATATTAGATGTCATTGTTTTACTTGAAGTTGTAAAAATATACTTGAGAACTATGCCTATGAATAGAGTATTATAGTATAGTTTAAAAAATAAATTAATACCAAATTTAAATCTATTAATTAATCACCCTCCTTGGATATCTTTATGTTTCATTGGGGTGTACTACCTGAAGAAAATTATGAAACACAGCAATCATTGTGCAATAGTAAGTTATTTGACAGATTATAAATGTCTTTAACTATGGCTGTATCAGGTGTACTCTCTGAGTGATGTCACTGAGTTTCACAGCGCTCTTCCTTGGAGATTTGAAGCAAGTGTCAAGTAATACATATCCTGATCTTGGAATGAAAAATTTAGCCTCCATTTGTTCCTAACACCCAGAAGCTACTGAAACTTTTGCAGGGGTGTTCTTCTGGTCCTTTTTCCTTCACTCTTTTATGCTGGTGAAGATTCTGGGAATTATCTAGGTTTCATGTTTCGTTGCTCTCAGTGAATTACAGAAGTATCTGGTTGCAAATTATTAAAAATAGGGGGTAAGAGACACTTATATTAAGTGTAATAATGATAGAAATCATAAATCAACATATTTTAAATAAATAATGAGAATAGGAAGCATAATTGAACGCCAAATAACTTAGGCAAATAAAAGGGGGAAAAACCCATATATTGTTTTATGTGTTGTGAGAATAAATGTGTACCTGTGGTGATTTACCAGCAATATTTTAGGCAGCATTAAATTATTTATTTATTTAGCAGCATTTCTAAGCTATTCAAATCCTGAATTGTCTGGTGGAAAATAGGGAAAACAAGAAGAAAAGTCAATTTCAAAATTTGATTTTGAATAATATAATTAATACAAAATAGTATAATTAGAACAATAAATCCTAAAATCTACTTTGCCCTCTAGTTTAAGCCAAAGACTTGGTGGAAAAGACCTCCAAAGGGAGAAGACCGTTGCAAGTAGAGATTATTATTAAGAACACCTGCTAGTTTGTTGACATCCATGTACCTCACAAACAACAGAGATTCTTAGCACCTCAAGGACACCAGATTGGATGGGCATATGCTATTCAATAAAGTATTGTTTCACATAATCCAGCACAATATTGTGTAGGGTTTTAAAGGTAACAGCACTTTAAATATGCATGGAAGCCTACTAGTAACAATACACCAACTTTAAAGTTGGTGTTATTTTTAATCGGCAGATTCATTCCACTACCAATCTTGTCACAATACTTTGCATTAGTTGTAGGTTCCAGGTCATCTCCAATGGCTGCCCCAGAGCTAATTACAGAGTGATCTAGACATGAATTGCTGTTTCATGGAAAGAAGTAAATAATGTCGAAATGAATACAGTGAAACATATATGCCTTCCAATTTCCTAGTCTTTTTTTAAATTAGAATTCTGCCCAATTCTTGCAGTGTACTCTGATATGACAAACAAAACTGAATGTAGTTTTCAGCCAATAATAGTTACTTCCCTATTTTACATTACAGCTCACATAATACTAACTTGTCTAACAAATGTTTCACTGTCATTTTTTTCAATTAGGTCCATATAAGTAATTTGTTAAAAGCAAAACTTACCGGTTATAGAGATTTTGATACATCAATGTATACTTGTGCTGTGGAGTTTGATTTCATGGAAAAAGAGGTAAGTATCATTTATTCATTCATTCAATACATTTCAATTCTTTTGCAATTAATAAGATTAACATACTAATTTATTGAAATTTTTCTATTTTGCCAACTCACCTCCATCCAAAACAATATTTTGACTAGACTGAATGTATATATGTTTGTGTGTGTACAAAAGCAGAGAAACTTCAAAAAATTCTCTAAACACTATTCTGAATAATTAGCATATGAATGGCAAAGTGCTCAATTCTCACACATGGGAAATTTATATACTATATGCATTAAAGGCAAAGTTAAGAAAATGCTGTTCAGTTTATCTCTGCCTACTACTTTGATAATGTTTGTTTAGATTTCTGCATCATTGTTTTTGTAGTTAGATTGAACCATAGTTAAATAGTTTCACTTATTTAAAAGCCAATTAAATTATATTTCAAAACAAGCCCCATCTAGTGTAGTAGAAATAAAATGAGTTCAGAAAAATGTGTATTTATTTATTATGATCCAAAGGCTTCCCAGTCCAAACCAAAATAGTTTGCCAAATGTGCATTGCTGAAGTGAAAGGCATAAATAAGAATTATTTCTGAATGAGAAGTGATTATTTAACTATACAAAATAATCCACAGGAATCCAATGGATTTGTAGATAACAGATTCTAAATCCTGTGATGTGTTTATATCAGTGTGGGATTTAAATAATTTAACAACCGGTTCTCTGCCATAATGACTCGGTGGTCATGTGACTGAGTAGGCTTGGACAATACAATGTGATTCTCTCCTCGAGAGGCCCGAGTGGGGTCTCCTTCAGGCTCTATCCTGGGATACCAAGAAGTAACATGAATTTTGAAACCCAGCAAGAAGCCTAATTTGTCCTTGCACTGAACTGCAGGCAGAGCAGGAAGTTCGCCTGGCTCCAGCTGGGGAAGCTCCCATCTCGGGCCTCAATTTTTCTCTGCCAGGTAAGAAATGGTGGTAGCAGGAGTGTCACCCTCTGCTTACCCGCCTGATGCTGTGTCATGAACGAGGGAATAAAGTGACGATAAAAATTCGCAAATCCCCAAAAAATCTGTAATTGTTTGCGGATGCAGAGGGGCGCCCATTCAGTGACAACTTGGACCTTTGCTGGGTCCATCTCGATGCCATCATGGGAGATGCGATACCCAAGGTAGTCAATTTTCCCCTGATGAAATTCACATTTAGACAGTTTGGCATACAGTTCCGCTGCTCGGAGTTTCTTGAGCACTGAATGCACCAATTTCACGTGTTCTTCACGTGTTTCTGTGTAAATAAGGATGTCATCAAGATAGACCATCACGCCTTTGTACGTACAGGTGCTCATGCAAAACTTCATTTATTAGTTGCATGAAAACAGCTGGTGCCCCCTGTAGGCCAAATGGGAATACTTGGAATTGAAAACAACCAAGTGGGCAGTTGAAAGCAGTTTTCCATTCATCATGGTCTCTAATTTAATTCTGACTCTGTAGTAGGCTTCTCTTAGGTCCAATTTCGTGAAAATATTTCCTTTACCCAATTGGGCCAACATATCCTTCATTAAAGGTAGTGGGTAGAGATTCTGAACACACACAGCATTCAGTTTTTTGTAATTAACATATAGATGAAAGGAGCTATCTTTCTTTTCTCTGAACAATACTGGAGCAGCCACTCGGGGCCTAGCAGGTTCAATAAACCCCCTTTGCAAATTTTTGTCAATAAACTTCCTTAATTCATCCATTTCATGGGGGTCATCGAATAAATCTGAGGTTTTGGAAGTTTTACCACAGGGAGAATATCAATGCTGCAATCAGTTGGATGGTGTGAGAGTAATTTATCAGAGGATTTTTCACTGAAAACATCTCTTAGGTCCCAATATTCTTTTGGGATTTTCTCCTCCCCCTCAATTTTTTCTTGACCCCTGGCTGCTATGTTAGAGTCAGCGTTAATTCGTTTGGGAGCGCTCCCCCCCCTCAGGGAGCGTAGCAGATCGGATACGCAACCACCCTTTCCTCCAATTGATACGTGGCTTCCATTTACATAACCAGGGTAAGCCTAATATAAGAGGCCGGTCCATCCCTGGAGCCACAATAAAATGTATTGTCTCTTGGTGAGTTCCCATCCACATGTCTGTTGGTTCAGTTTTAAAATGGGCAGGGCTCCCTCCAGCTATTGAGCTGTCCAGCTGGCAAAAAGCAATTGGGATTTTTAAAGTTTTCAGTTTCAGGCCCAATTTTTCCATTATTTGGGGGCTAACGATGCAACGTGTGCAACCTGAATCTAAAAGGGCCAGCATTTTTCCTTGCACTCCAGTAGAGGACACTTTAAGTTCAACTAGGATAGTCATGGGGCCCAATCGGGAACTTACCAGACGTTCGTCATCAGATTCGGTTTCACTTTCCTCCGATGAGGAGGGTGATTCCTCTTCCCCTGGGGCAGGGAGGAACTGTGGATTAGGTTCCACCCCTTNCCACTACCATGGAGGGCTTTATGAGTGACAAGTAGCACCTTGAAGCGCACCCGGAGATCAACAGGTAGCCAGCGCTACATATGATATATTACATATCATGTAATATATCATGCATATGTCCTCCTACATATGCAACACTGTCAAGAAACATCTCAAACTTGCTCAAGTGATAAAGAAAACTCATTTATTGCAAGGCAAACAATAGAAGGAATACAGGATTGTTTTGGAGGGAATAAGGAGATTAAAAATAAGTGATTGAAAGGATTATAAATGTTGAAGGGATTGGTCAATTTGAATAAAAATGAATAGGGAATATATTGCAGGATAGATATAAATCTGAAAAAGATAGATGAACAGTTGGAAAAAATGTTTTTTTTAAAAGCAGTAGAATACATCTGAATCTGTTTTCTTTCCTCCTGTTTCAGTAGATTCTAATAAAGGAGTGAGGCATAAGTAATGTATCATTCTTGCATTCCATCAAAGATTATGGATAACATAAAACTAATACTTAAATTATTCGTTCAAAACATACACTGGAAGAGATTGGACAACCATTTGTCTGAAATGGTATAGAATTTTCTGCCTGAGCAAGGGGTTGGACTAGAAGACCTCCAAGGTCCTTTCCAGCTCTATATTTCTATTCTATTGTTTGTCTGATTTTGTGAAAGTGACTTTTTCATACAACTATCAACCAGATGTATCAAGAAATACATAAATGGAACATAAGATTATTCCTTTTCATTCTTGTTCCTTAATGATACCTTTGATTTTCAAGAGAATTTGGCTATCAGAATTGATAGACATAATTAGGCCTTTTCTGTGTGATTTTGTTCAGTCCACTTTAAAAGCTGCTTAAATTGGTAGCCGTGAATTTTGCAAATAAATAATACTTTTAAAAATATGGACCTGAAAGTAATATTTTGCTCCTTGTTATTGTGACTTAAAGTTTGGCATATTTCATTACTGATACTATTGTTTTATTTACCCCATCTTTGAATGAAAGAAGTCCTTGATATTTTCTGAGCTTGATTGCTTGCTTGTAGATGTTTTATTACTGACTAGGTAATATCATCAGGATATTACATAATTGACTAATGAAATGTCTTCAAGCAAATAACCAGGTTCAGAGAGAACCAAGGATTACACAGTTAAAGTGACCAGATTTTCAGATTGGTAAAGAGAGATACCATTGACCGGGGGGGCTTGATTAAAATTTTTATATTTTGTCAAAAGGTCACAAAAGGCAATTACATGACCCCAGGACACTGAAACCATCATAAATACCAAACATCAAAATTTTGATCACGTGACCATGAGGATACTGCAACGGTCGCTAAGTGTGAAAANGAACGAATCTGACGCCAACATCCTCTAGTTCATCCAAGTTCCCCTTAGCTTAGCTTCCCCAGCTGGAAAGGCCCTAATAGTTTTGCTAAGTGTTACAAAAGTCATAGTGACCTTTGAAAGTGCTGCCTCTAGCTAAATAAAAATGCTAAGCTGAATAATAAAAGTGCTTTAATAATAGTTAGCTAATACAAATACACTAAAATGGTCTGTATGTAATAAAATGTAATCAATAGCCACTCAATTTTATAAAAGAGATTTTATAATCTCTCCCATTTCATCAGCTAAAGCAGCTATTGCAGTTGAGGTTTCATTTATGCTTTTAGCTAAAGCACAAGCAAGATGCCCAAGCTGCCTATGTTTATACTGAGTAGCAATCCAGGGAATTATCCCCAAGACCCCACCCTGCACCTTATCCAATATTACAACCTCATCATTACATCCAGCATCATATGCATCACTCAGTCTTCCCTCTTCCCTCTATACACATTTATTTCTGCATTCTTTTTAATATCCATCGATGTTATAGTCCATCTTATAAGATTCACACCAATATATGTAACTACATGTGATTCTTTCTCTTTTACGGTGGCTCAACATGTTCATGACCATGCTCATTGTCATGTATGTGTACATGTGTTCCATCTACTGGGTCATGTCCTGCATCCTTAGTAGCATCGTGCGTACCACCCTTGGGAACTACCTTTCGTGGCACTCTGTTACTATGATAGAGAATTTGATTCATCATCTCATAGTAAAACTCTGCTGGTTAATATCCTTAAAACATGTTACTGCCATAAAGATAGTTAAACATCCAAAGTACAAGGGCCTCCTATTGCATTAAAAGGTACATATGCATAAACATGTAAGCCACAAAACAAAAACCATCTTATGGGTAAATATAATACTGGTCCTATACCATCTACTTCTTCCACCTCAGAACAAGTAAATACATGATGAGTAGACACTGATACGTATATTACCTTTTCCTGTTTATTTTCTAGGTGTTTGTAATATACACAATCATAAGCAGACAATACTGTTTTTAATTCTATCACTATTTTTTTCTGATTAGTCCATTTATTGGGCTTATGTGGACTTCCAAAAAGAGTAATTACTTGGGAAAGATTATAATTATTAGGTTCAATGGTGATTTTTTGCTATATCAAATGAAAACTTTCCAGGGACAGGCACTCCTACAAAACATGTAGATAT